TATAAGATACAGATACCTTCAAGGAATCAAAAAAAGTTTGCTCTGAATTTGGACTGAGCTTCTCTCTAAATAAAGGCAACTTCTTGACAAGTTCTTAATTTCTTTTCTTAATTAATTTCAGGAGCATGCCTGAAATCTTAAGGTACCATACTTTGATTCCAACTGAATTTCCATGCCAATCCCATATCTGTTGATTTATTACCTTCTCAGCCAAATTTCGAACTAAAGCTGCTAAAGTACAAATAAACAAGAGGTTCAAGTCGGGAGCTCCCGACTAGGGGATACCCTGAACCCTCTTCTTCAAATGCATATATATATTCTATTTTAGAAGCTATATGTCAAATTTGGTGACTCTAGCTCTTATTATTTACCAAAATTGCCCAAAAAACAGGATATCGAAATCGATTTTTATCGATTGCTTGGAAACGGAGTATGTTATCGATTATCGGAAACAAACTCGATCTGCGCAGGCACTAGGAGGACCTACATCTAAATGTCTCTAGCTCTTATAGGTTCTGATATCCTTGCGTTCATACATACGGACGGACGGACAGACAGACGGACATGGCTAGATCGCCTCGGCTATTGTTGCTGATCAAGAATATATATACTTTATGGGGTCGGAGATACATCCTTCTGCCTGTTACATACATTTGGATTTTGCACAAATACAATATACCCTTATACCCATTTTAAATGGGTTCAGGGTATAAAAACGAAATTTCAAATAAACTTTAACTGTTTGGGATGGTTGATAAACGCTTTTCTGGATGTTTTTTGTTAAGACAATCAAATTGTTGAAGTATGTTGAATATAAGAACAACAATCATAGAGTTTATTATCATGAAATATTTTTTTAAAAAAAATCATTTCCGAATCTCTTCAGTCAATCAGTTAAAAGACCTAAGCAATTTATTACTACGAGCTACTTCTATTTTGTAATTTCGTATGTATTTGAAGTATCCCGGTGAAAGCGTTGTGTGTGCATACATATATGGGAACAATTTCTCCATTGCGATTGATATTTGCGCAATCGGGTAAGTTTCAGGTAAATAAGTTCTTAGCCAAGCTGATCGTCTAATCAATCATAAATGAAATGAAATAAATAAGAAAAACACACACACACACGCACACACAGATAGTAGGATGAACCGTCATGAGAACATTGTCTGCAAGGGCTGCAGCAAGGTGGACTTTACGGGTCGCTGTTATCGCTGCCTGAGCTGCCAGGACTTTAATATGTGTGCGGAATGTTATGATAATGATTTTACCACCGCACAGCATCCGTTCGATCATCCGGTGAAGTGTGTGTTTACGCCAGCCGATGTTGAGCTATATTTTGGCGGCGAATATCTAAATGATCCGCCCCAAAGCTATAGATGTCCGTATTGCAAGCAATGGGGCTACAATGAGTCCACATTTTTGGAGCATGTGTCCGCGGAACATGTGGGCGCCAGCACGTTGCTGGTATCCACAATGGTAACGCTTTTCGAGCAACAGCAGGCGGTTCGTCTGTTTCTGGAGGACGAGCAGCTGGCGGTGTTCGCCTCGGCGGCAACGTCACGCAACGAGCTCATGAACCGCAACGAGGGTTCGCTTGAGCTATTTCTAGAGCCGCTGAATCCCAATGGCAGCTATCAGCGGGAGCATCCGGCCTCGCCGTTAACATTTCGTGTTGCTAAGCCCGGCGCCGTCGAGGTAGCACCCTGGGTAGCCGAAGGTGGCAACTTGACGGCGTCCAACAGCAGCCACAACGTGGACAATAACTTTCTGATACCGGATCCAGTTCGTCGTCAATCCCTGTTGGATCGTGCCCGTCATCGCCTCAACTTTGACCGACCGCCACTGCCGGTCCAGCAGCAGCAGCAGCAGCCCCAGCAACAGCTGAGCGGCGGCCACCATCCCACGCTCTCAGAGATGATGCGATTCAATGAGCCGCTGCCAACGAGTCGGGCAAATCGTCCAGGCAATTTTCGCGTTGTGGCCAACCAGTCGCCCAATCAATCTGCCAGCGGGCGCAGCATTAATCTGTTTGGACCAAATGCCACTGCCGAGAATATGCGACGCGCCTTCTATCCGCCCGGCGAGATAACCAGAACGCGCGCCCAGCGACATCGTGCGCCGCGCATGCAAATGGAGGGTTTTCCAGCCAGCGGCGTTCGTCAAGTGCATGTACAGCGTTTGCGTGGCGGCCCCGGTCCTGGTCCGGCGCCCGGACCCGGTCCGGGCCAGCGTCTGGTCGAGTTCAGTGAACTGGCGCATGGGGCTAACGAGCTGCTTGGCCAGAATGTGGCCTCCGGTGCGGTCATGTTGCGCACAATCGAGGAGGAGGAGCAACAGCAACAACAGCCAACAACCGAGTCCAAGCAGCTGGATCTGGAACGTGAACGCTACCTGTGCTATCCATTTTTATCATCCGCCTCCAGTGCACCGTGCCCGCCCGAGGAGCAGATCACATTTCTGGCACAACGAGCCGAATTTGTTGCCCAGCTGTTGGCCTCGGTGCTCTGCGAGGAGGAGCTGACAGGGATTACCTCAATGCCGGAGGCAGTCGATACGCTCAAGCTGCGTAATCGATCGAATAGCGAATTTGTTGGCGCTGGCGACTCAGAGCTGGATTTAAAGCAAACTACGCCATGCTAGAGAAATTGACACTCGTCAAGTTTTGATTCGTTTTGGTTAACTGTCGAATGCAGCAAAACTTTCGTTGATACACAACTTAAACCTATAGGCACAAATTTTGTAGTTTCCCCAACTCCGTTTAAAAAGCTAACTTTTCGGAAATTGCGGCCCCGGGCCAACAAAAATTGCAATTGTCGTAAGTATTTGCGTCTTTGACTTTTGACTTGAACCAAATAACACCCCATGCATTATACGAGACATATCGAATAAAGACGCTGAATAAATGAACACAGAAGATTTTCAATACGAAATCGATAAATTATTGTAACTGTTATCGATAGAACGTGGAATAAAAATGCTTAAGATATTAACTCGTAACGTGGCAAATTCAGCATCGATATGCTATCGATAACTTATACAACTGCAAGTTAGCTTTTAATAATTCCATTGCAAGGTTTTTAAAGAATATATCTATTTTTTTAAGATAGAAGTAAATAATCGAAAAACTCGATAAATTATGGTAGTACCATTGTGCTATAGCTGACATGAATACAGAATCGATATGTTATCGATAGCACATGAAAATTTAGGAAAGCTCTTAGGACAATTTCTTAAGCCCAGAAGATGTGTCATTAGCTCACTTTTTGCGAGCTAATTAAAAAGTTAAGAGCACTGCTGTCGAATAAAAATTCTTAAGAACTTAACTCGTAACATGGCAGATTCAGCATCGATATGTTATCGATAACCTATACAAATTTTTTAATAATATGCAATATCAATATAAAGAAAAATTGTGTTTTTTTAATATAGAAGCAAATAATCGATAAATTGTCGATTAATTATTGTAGTACAATTGCAATATAGCTGACATGAATGCATTATCGATATGTTATCGATAACACATGTAAATGCAGGAAAGCTCTCAGGAGAATTAATGCAATATCATAACGAAATATAAAAAGGAGAAGACAAACATGTATTAAGCCCTGAAGATGTGTAATTAGGCCCCGCTCTGAGCAAAGTCCCATAAATAGCGCACTTTTTGAGAGCTAATTAAAAAGTCAAGAGCCTTGCGGCCAGCCAATGGAATTGTTGGAATCTCTGCCAACATTTTGCGGTTTGCCACATTTTCTGCTTCCACTTTAGAGGGATAAGAAGAAGGGAAGCGTCGATTCGCATCGCTTAGCATATATTCTGCTTATTTATTTAAATTGTAAATGGAAAGGGTTTTGGAACAAAAACGCAAAGTGGGCGGAAAAAAAGAATATAATCTGCAAGCTGAAATTTCATTTATAATTGAAAATAATTGGATAAATTGAAATTGAAGTGCGAAGCTGCGGCTGCCACATGATATGTGAGTCCCTTTGTGTCAATCAAGCGTTTCCTCCATCTCAGTCCCTCTCTGAAGAGATTATAATGAGATTTATCGAGCAGCTTACATGCATATTGACTATACTTATTTCTTACCTAATGGATATATTTAAGATTTTTATTATTATTATGTGTATAACAACCATTAAGTCACATTTTGTTGGGTTTATATGAATATAACTCAATGTTCAATACGAAATAAACACATCCATTGTTCAGTTCTCTTATTAGCATTCAGAACAGCTGTCCATTAGTCAGCCAAATGGTGTGTGTAGAAGTGTCACGCCAAGTTGAGAATTTAGAGATAGAGGGAAAACAACAAGTAAACAAGCGAGAATATAGATTTATGATTACCATCATGATAAATATACCAAGCGGGTAAATTTGTTGGTGCTGCCATATACGCATTTGCGCACAAGTTTAAAGCTAGGTGGCAACGCTGCGCTGCTATGCGCAACTTTGCAAAGCTGTTAATGTTAACTTGAGCTTGACGACAACTTAAAGTGCATGTTAAGGGTAAGATGTTTATTTGCTATTACCACAGTCAAGATTCTAGAATGTTTTGTTTCTAAATGCAGCTTGACTGGGCTGACACTCATCATATATGAAAGCACTTAACATAATATTAGGGTGTTGCCCATATATTTCCGCTTGGTAACCAACGCCATTGACCCTGCAACTGGGCTTGGCTTCCGCACACACGTGCACTTGACTTGGGCACCACTGAGAGACACTGACCTTCAAAACGAGACACTGGTTGGAATGTTAAGCTGGCCAACTGACTAGCCCTTAATTCGATATGTGTGCTGTGTGTGTGTGGCAATAACCCAAACGCCCCAAGCTTGACAGAGCCCAAAAACCAACCCCTTGTCCAAAGACCAGCCGCGACCCGTATTGGGGCTAGGCAAACATTCACGCGCCAATGTGACATCATCAACATAATGAAGTGAGGGGTCCATTAGAGTGGCTCCAATCTAATGACCTCTTGGCCTGCTCTCCCTTTGCAGATATGCCGCCTACTACTGGAAGGTGTCGCGCGAAGGTCGTCGGGTTTACATGGACTACTACTATATGGAGAACGGTAAACAGATCTATGGCGTGCCCATAGGTGGCATTGGTGGCGGCAGCATTGGACGCGGCTATGCCGGTGAATTCTGTCGCTTTCAAATGCGCCCCGGCATCTATGAGTACAATGTGGTGCATGCCAATCAATTTATTGTTACCATCAAGGATCACAAGGGTTGCACCATCTTTCAGAGTTTGCTCTCCAGGTGCAGGTGAGTGGACAACACTGACCTTCATCTTGACTATAATATAACTTTCAAGCGAAACTTTAAGTCTACCATTAATTGTCATAATTCAAAATTTCACCTCTGCTCGACTTTCTGCACTAAAGCTTTTGATTTTCTTGCTTTTTTCTGAGATCCCACTGGGAACTCTTAATTCATGCTTATTTATTGCACTCTACTTTTCTTGTTGTATTCTAAACGCAGCTGGTGCTATATAATAGCACGCGATTCGAGTAATTCATTTTATTGTATGTGTAAACACAACTTGCTTTCAGCTTTGAGCTTTTGTTTATTTGATATTGTGAAAGTCATCTCATGAAAAAGCTTATTAGCCTACATCAATTCATCTTAGTTTTAATTAGCATTTCATTTTTTCAGCTTTTGCTGACTTTATTGTTGAACTATTTCTACGTGAATCTAAAACTTCTTGACTATTTAACAGACTGGGCTCTCATGCCTTATACTAGTACTTTTTCTTTCAATCAGAAATATTGAATAAAGCTAAAAATATTAAACTGAGGCTGTTATACATAATGTTATTAATATTACTGGCACAACTTCTGTTCAAAAGCTGCTAAAATTACGCTGTTAATGTTAACATTAACAGCACGCCTTTCACTAGCAGCTAACATAGTCTGTACTATCTGTTGACTTGATAACATGTTATTAAAAATAATTACAAAGCTAATCTTCAGAATGACTAATAATAATCACGTATGATTATAAAATTACATATTTGTACATGTGTGTATTTTATATTTCCGTATGTTTTATTTCTTACACCCTAAAATAGGATCTTTTAATGATCCGTACTATATATGCTTTCTGCTATCCTACTAACAATACATCCGTGACTTACTTCTGATCTCGTACTATTCCTTTAACCTCTAGCTAAACCTTTTCTCTTCACTCGACTACTAATCACTACCACATTATGATTCTGGTAATCCACTAATTAACGGTCTAATGTCAATGAATTTAATTTATAATTTCACAACGTGATATTTTTCTCTCTCATTTTGGCTGCACCCAAAACACGTCAAACTAATCGACAACAACAACAACAACAATCAAACAATCAAAACACGTTCTGAAACTGGGGAAAATGGAAAAACTATTATTGGGTTTTTTTTTTTGTTGCTTGCGGGAAACGATTTGGTTTGCTTTGCTTATCAACAATCCATTCATAAATGCAAACAAAATATATCATATATATGCATATGCGAATGTGTAGCACCAAATCATTTAAGGCAAAGGCCAACAACAACGATGCAGAGGCCGATGAGGCCGATGCACAAAAAACTAAATGTCAACTGCCCAATTGCAGCAGCCGACCCAGGCAGCCACTGAGTGCCTGGCACTCGAACATCGAGGATTCCCGCTGCAGTTATACGGGTCTATATCCGCGCGCCTGGACCGAATACGATCTGTCGCACTATGGTGTGCGATTGATCTGTCGCCAGATTTCGCCCGTGATACCGCACGACTACAAGGAGTCCAGTTTGCCCTGCGCCGTGTTCGTCTGGTCTGCCCAAAATGTGTGCGATCAGGAGCGCAAGGTGTCCATTACGTTTACGTTTAAGAATGGCACCGGCAACAAGAAACAGGATGCGGATGGCAATGCCGAGTCGCAGCTAATCAGCGAGGGCAATGCCAAGGGCGTGGCCATTAGGCAAAAAATTGCCGATATGCCCTGCAGCTATAATCTGGCCTGTCGCGTGCTACCCGAAATAAGCATAACACGTTGTCCCCAATTCGATCCGGCTGGCAATGGCGAACAGCTGTGGGCACAGCTCAAGGAGCATGGCCAGCTCAGCGAGCAGCCCACCGCGGAGACTCTGAGATGTAAGTAGAAGCATTCACCAAGGTTAGAAGTTCGAAGTTTAAATAAGTACAAATAGATCTCAATATTGTCTCAATGGTCACATAACTCTTGAAACCTCAAAATTGAATTGCAAATTATTTACTTCCGAACTCTGCCCACAGCCAAGGACATAGGTGTAGCTGTCTGCGCACAGCTGGCACTCAAGCCGCAGGCCTACCATGAGCTGGAGTTTGTGCTGGCCTGGGACATGCCCAAGATACAATTTCCGCGCAAGCTGCAAACGCACACACGCTACTATACCAAATACTTTGATGACAGCGGCGAGTCCGGCCCCAGGATATGCGAGTATGCACTGAAGCATTATGCCAGCTGGGAGCGGCTCATCGATGCCTGGCAGCGACCCATACTAAATGATGAGTAGGCTTAAATATCAGCTTAAATATAGCAAATCCCGAGCTAAACTCTTGTTTAATTTGATAGCGGCCTGCCCGATTGGTATAAATGCGCCATATTCAATCAGCTGTATTTCATTTCGGATGGCGGCACAATCTGGCTGAAATGCGACTACTCGCTGGGCCAGTCGCTGGCTTTTGATGATCCACGCTTGGCATATGGTCGCTTTGGTTATCTGGAGGGTCATGAGTATCGCATGTACAATACGTACGATGTACATTTCTATGCCTCGCCCGCGTTGGCGCATCTGTGGCCCAATTTGCAGGTCAGCTTGCAATACGATTTCAAAGATGCGATTGCCGCTGAGCTGAATGATACACGCAAAATGCTCTACGATGGAAAAGTAATGCCGCGCAAGGTTAAAAATTGCGTGCCACACGATCTGGGTGATCCCGATGAAGGCAAGTTGCCAAGGTTTTGGTCTTGTTTACTTGGTTAAATCAGCCAATCCTACAACACATTCCTCTTTGCAAGCAAAATGTAATATAAAACTTTCTTCTAGAACCCTTTACATTGATCAATTGCTATAACATACACGATGTGAATGACTGGAAGGATCTCAATACGAAGTTTGTGCTGCAGGTCTACAGAGATTACTATGTGCTCAACGAACTGGCCCAAGCGCAAGCGGACAATGCCAGTAAATTCAGTTCGATTGAGTTCATTGACAAGGAGAGCCTCTATGAGCTGTACACGCAGGACAACAAGCGCAAGAACTCGGCGGAGGAGAAGCAGCGTAAGAATAAAGTAGCGTATATTATAGACAAATCTCTACATGTTATCTCCGTTATCCCTTCAGAGAATCGCAAATCTGCCTCTATGTACATCAATGAGACCAATGGCAAGGTCTATCTCATGGATGCCATGGGCTATTTGAAGGCCATGTATGGCGCCTGTAAGGCCATTATGGAGCGCACCATTGAGTATGACAAGGATAATGATGGCCTAATTGAGAACACCAAAATGCCGGATCAGACCTATGACTCGTGGGTCATGGATGGACCGAGCGCTTATTGTGCTGGCCTCTGGCTGGCCGCGCTGCAAACCATGTCCGTTATGGCCACACTTTTGGATCAGCCCAACGACTGTTTGCGGTATCAAGATATCTTGGAGAAGGGCAAGCACTCGCTGGAGGAGAAGCTCTGGAATGGCAGTTATTATCGTTTCGATTTGTCACACAATCATCGCGATACAATTATGGCCGATCAGCTTTGCGGTCATTGGTATTTAAAGTCCTGCGGCTTTGACTATGAGATCTACCCCAAGGAAAATGTGCGCACAGCTCTCAAACGCATCTACGACAACAATGTGATGGGCTTTCATGAGGGCAACATTGGCGCCGCCAATGGCTTCATAGCGAATGCCAGTGAGCCCTCAAAGCCAGGCCATGTGGACAACAGTAACATACAGGCCGAGGAGGTCTGGCCGGGCGTGGTATATGCTCTAGCGGCCACCATGATACAGGAGGGCATGTTCGAGGAGGCCTTCCAAACCGCTGGCGGCATGTACAAGACCATATCGCAGCGCATTGGCATGAACTATGAGACGCCAGAAGCATTATATGGCGAGAAACGTTATCGCTCGATTGGGTATATGCGACCCCTGAGCATTTGGTCGATGCAAGTGGCCTGGGAGCGACGCCGGGCGTTGCGCGACTAATTCCAAAGTACAATCTTTATAACTAGTTGATTTACACCTATATACAATTACAAATGCGCTACCAACCAAAGATATTTCTAAGCTATCACACAAAGGTTCTTAGCTTTTAGTTTTTAACGAGCTTATTTGGCGGTTCTAAAAGCGCCCCAATATTTGAAAGAAAAAGGTATTCACAAATGTTTTAACAAAAGCTTTATATTTAACTATATATTTAAACTAAGTTCAGCCGGTTGCTTGTTCTCAATGTCTTCTCTAGCTACTAAGTCTGTTCGAAACACAAATCAATCGATGGGCACTTGCTAAATCGCTGTTCTGTTCCAAGTACAATTATTGAATGGTATTCACAAAGAGCACAAAACATATTTAAATGTTAGCTAAGCATGCTGTTCAAATTTAAAACACGCATTATACTGTTTCATTAATTATATATAAATGTATTTATGTCTATTACATAAGCAAATTATTCAAATATTTAAATTGTTGCTGTCGAAAATAAATGCGTCAACAGAAATGTGGAAATTATAACAATTATTTAGTGTCCTTTCCGACATAAAGCATGTGCACGATCTATGCCTCTATACACTGAATGGTGTTTGAACACAAAAACTGTCTCTAGAGATTTATAATATAGTGGTCGGATGTTGAGTTGAGTGGACACTTCTAATGGTATCTACATGACAGACTAAACTTTCTGATTTATTGTTAAACGTTGATTAAATATGATAATAAAAAAGACCCCGGGAACCGGCAGCAATTTTGGGACCCAGAAACAATAACTGGATCCCCCGATATTTTATGATGATACAATAATGTTAACTTCCTTAACTTCAATTTCTAGTTTCGACTGCTCTCTGTTTAGTATTATATATACGGATTTAAGACAGAAAGTAGTGCGCATTAAAAATAGGTTGAGCAGACGGACTCATCGACTTATCTACTGAAACTGATTGAAAATATGATAAATTGAACATGAATATAAAATATTGTGAGAAAATTTCAATATCCTCTCCAAGGATAAATCTTAACAAAAAGCTTTCTGGCTTTCCAAAAACATGTTCTCATTTTATTAACAGACTGAATTTTAAAACAGATCAACAACTTGTCACAGATTGATAGAAAAATATATGCTGTATAGGAATCAGTCGACGTATAAGAACAACAGACAAAAGATTGCTCTTACCCAGTCAACTGATGTTTATCGGTTGCGTTTGGGGGCGCACTATAATGCTGATTGTTCCATTGTTGCAAAAATTTGGCATATTCCCGCCTGCTGCGACACAATATGACCAGCGAGGAGGGTCGACAGCCAAACGATGCCAACTCTTCAACGCGCTGCCGTGTAGTCTTTAGGCTGTGGCATAAAATGCGCGGCACTTGAGCTATTTCAAAGCGCGTAAATTTGGCCTCATCAAGCAAATAGTCCAGCACTTCTTTAATCTGTAAAATGGTTTGGCTAAATGCACATATATAAATGAAGCTGACTCCCACTGCGAACCTTGGTAACGCGTACTGTATGCACTTGCGGATGTCGGTCCATAATGGCCTTTGTTTCGCTAACGGTAAAGCCCAAACGATGCGCTACATACTCCACCACAGAGGAGAATTTGCCCAAGACTTTCAGCTCGTCCAGCGATAGCTTCAGCGAGCTACAAGAAATCATTTCTCCAATTGGTAAACTAGGCTCAAAACTGATTTATCTCACCGTTGCAGTATAGGTTCCGGGCAGCGCACCATCCAGGGCATTATTTTACCCTTCTTGGCACGTTGGGCGCGCTCCAAGCGCAGCTCCACCGATTTGGGCGTATAGCGAAAGGCCCACAGGTCTTTTAGTATATTGATGGGCGATACATTGTAGTGTATCATGTGCTGTAAGTTCTTCTCAAACATTTCATATGGCATTTCCAGTATGAACAGTCGTTTCGACAGATATTTGGTGACTATTTCTGGACTGACGTCCAGCTTCTCACTAATGTAGTAAACACGATTCTTTTGCGGTAATTCATTGGATTCTGCATTTAAAGCGCCCACCAGCTTGCGCAGGCGTGGCACCGTGAGACGCAGAAAGGGAACAAAGTGGTTAATGTCGCGCATATGCATGGATTTAATCAGCTGTAGCTTGAGACCCAGACGTTCTGCAAAGATTTAGACTGAACATTTCGATTACAGCATTGATGTTTTAATGAGCACTTACTCAGATCTAAGACCAGTAGCCAGGGATATTCCAAGAAACTGTGCTTGCTGACGCCCTCTAGCATCAGCGTGTCCAGTGTTTCAGTTAGGCAGAGATTGCGATAGCTGCGCTGCACTTGCTCATCGTTCACAATACGCTTCACTTGATCTTCCGTGAGGCGAAAGCGTTCCTGTAGTGCTGCACTTAAAATACCCAAACGACTGCCAGTTTCCACCTCTGCACGATACGGCACATACTCATTGTCCGCCTCGCTGGCCGGGGGCGTGACATGGCTACTAAGCCCAGCCGTTGCCGTAGCCAACACTGGCTGCTTGTTTTTCGAGCGACTCTCGCATTCGTATTGTGTAAAGAGTGTACGGCGTGCAGTTGTTGATCTACTTAGCAGACGTGCTGCTTCAGTGTGGCGCTGCAGTTTGAGCGTGCATTCAAAGCTGCGCACCAGGTTGCGCAACATTATATGTTTGAGCGTTCAATTTGTGTTGTAATATAATAAACTTAAACTTAATAATTTGTACGCGCTGAAAATCTTTACCGAACAGCTGTTTTATGCACAGCGTTGCCACTGTCTTAACCGACGTGCCAATTGTTCTTTAGCTGCGCGGTCTGGCAAGGCGGGCCCATGCATAACAGCCCTGGCACAGCATATTTATGGAACCTTGCGCGCAAAGCTGAGACAATATTTAAATTTGAGTTGCATTTGTTGCCATTAATATGTCTGCCATAACTATTAATCAAGTGCAATATGTGTCTCCGTTGCAGTGCTATATTTGTGTTATAAATAAAGCGAGCGAATTGCAAAAGCAACAACAGCTGCTCTTACAACAACCTCCACTACAACAACAACAACAACAACTGGCGACCGATGCAGATGCCAACAAGCAGCTTGAGCCCAACATTATCTGCAGAGGCTGCAAAATGCAACGATACTGCAGCCTACAGCATCTGGTCGAGGATCAAGCACATCGTGACTTTTGCCGAGTGCTCATTGATCTGCAAAAGTCACAAAACATTGGACATCCCCTGCTTCTAGCCGGCCCGCTTTTGGGACGCGCCCAACTACAGCAGGCCATGGCTCAACTTATGCTGGCGGTCCGCGTCAAGCTGCGGCGTCTGTTGACGCGTCGCGAATGCGAACTTATTGGCTATCCCGGCTATTGTGTGGTCTGCTATCGCCTAGAGCCGCTGACAGCTTGCGTCGGCTGCGCGGGCGTCGCCTATTGCTCCGCGGAGCATCGCCGTTTGGATTGCTGCAATCACACGCCGGCCGTGTGCCGGACCTTGGCACTCTACTATTCACCCTACCGACTGTTGGCCAGTCAGCTGGACATTGTGCAGCTGAAGCAGCGCAGTGACTTGAAGCGCAGCCATTTGGTGGAAACGTTTTACGCAGCCACAGAAATTCGCATTGATAGCCAGCCTTGGCGCTCCTTGGAGCAGTATGAACGCTTTGCCGCTTGCTCCTCGTTCAGCGGCATTGCCAGCGTCTGCCTGGCGCTTACAAATATATCCTTTGTCGCCGCACCTCATGAGATTCTCAGCGTTTATGTGGTGGGTGCCCAGGAGCTGCATCGCAGCTACTTTCAACTGATGCACCTCAAGTTCTTCTTTCTGCAATACCCAGATGTCTGCCAGCTGGAAGTGTACTTCATTGGGCACAAGCTGCAGCCTCGAGCTGGCGAGGAGCTGCTCACATTTATGCAAGGGGTGATCAGATTTTATTTATATATCTATATAGTATACTAATTTGTGTGATTTATATATAACCACAGGGCTGCCAACGCAAAGTTGTCCTGTGCACATTTCCAAAAACTTTCGAGCGCTTCGCCAAGACACATAGAGTAGATCCCGTGCTGATTATAATATATAATCCCGATTTCGCTGCAATGGACACGCTGACAGAAGGTATCGTGGAACGGAAATATCCGCATGCAGTGCAGCCATCGGAGCAGGATGACTATAGCTGGCATGGCTGCCTCTTGGAGACTCTCCACACCTATGGGGTGCCAATTTGTTTTACCTCACCCACTAAGATGCAGGCGCGTTCGGATCTCAATTGTGTTAATGTGCTGGCCAAAGGTTATAAAATTGCCATTGAACGTGTCTACAATTGCACAGAGAATCCCTATCGCGAGATATTACCTCAGCACAATCCCTGTCCCGATGACGACGAAACCGTTATTTATGCAAATAACTATTTGGAAGTTGTTTTTACAAGCATTCAATGCTAAAACCTATTATATTACATAACATTATTATGTTAAGTAACAGTACTACATAATGTTAGCATTAACAGAGGGGCAGATGTTACACATATTATCGTATAGCTCAGTACACCTCAATAGTCCTAAAGTTTTAACAGACCTTATAAGTATTCGTTTTAACTTATAAATATTCATTAGTTTTTCTTATATATATAAATAAGTAATGTTTAAAAAACTGTTTTTTTCATTTTCATATTTGACTTTATTGCGCAAAAAATACTGTTTTCCAACACTGGCATATGATCAACTAACCGTTACAAACAAGTTCAAACATGTACATAAATCATGAGATATGTATCACAAAAATTCCATTAGCCTTCAAATGGACGAAGCAAACATACATATGTATGTATATAAAGAAAGCACACGCACATTTAGAAAATCAAAAAGTATTAAAAGCAATTTGACAAATATTGAAAACAATTGATTTACTCCACATCAATGTCCTTGGTGACACGGCCCACCCAATAAACGAAGCCAGTCTGCACCACAGTTGCCATGAACTTGACATTACCCTTGTAGCCTGCTGGTGGGATCCAGTCGAAGGTGACACCGCTCAACGGACTGCCCTTGGTGGCCTTCAGATGGGTGAGCGTATCCTGTAAATCATAAAAGTTCCAGTCAGTGCTTGAATTTATCTTAGTTAAATTGCTGTACACCTCACCTGTGGTCCGGAGCAGTCCAATGTCTGCGAGCGGGCCGTGTCCACAACCTTAAATTGACCCACAACACGGTTCTGGCCATCGCGAGCCTGAATCATGAAGCCCAAGAACTCATCGCCGCCCAGAGTTAATGTCAGCTTCTGATCGCCACGCACATGCGAGGGGCCGGAGAAGCTATATGGCGGCTTCCTGGTCTGCAGCTCAGCACCGTGCTGGGGCGTCAGGTCCCGACAGGCAGCCTTTGGCGCGCCCTCAGAGTAGGCATTGACGCTAACAGCCAAGCAGGCGGCAAGCAAGAGCAAACGGAACATATTGTCTGTAAGTTAGTGAGTAAATGTAAAGAATTGTTCAGCATTGATACAATCATTAGAATTAGCATCTGTCCCTATTTTAAGGCTAAGGTTCAGCATTAACACTAGCATTAGAATTAGCATCTGTTCCTCTGTTAATGGTAACGCCATATCTTACTGTTACTTAACGGCACGATGGTATGCACTACTGCTTATCGTAAAGAATTGTTCAGCATTCATACAGACATTAACATTGGCATCTGTCCTTCTTTTAAAGCTAAGAATATGCAGTACTGTTACTTAACAGCACGATGTTATGCATTCTGCTTATCGTAAAGAATTGTTCAGCATTGACACTAACATTAGAATTAGCATCTGCCCCTCTGTGAATGCTAGCACTATGTATTACTGTTACTTAACATCACGATGTTATGCACTACTGCTTATCGTAAAGAATTGTTCAGCATTGACACTAACATTAGAGTAAGCATCTGCCCCTCTGTTAATGGTAACGCTATATCTTACTGTTACTTAACATCACAATGTTATGCACTTCTACTTATCGTAAAGAATTGTTCAGCATTGATACAATCATTAGAATTAGCATCTGCCCCTCTGTGAATGCTAGCACTATGTATTACTGTTACTTAACAGCACGATGTTATGCACTACTGCTTATCGTAAAGAATTGTTCAGCATTGATACAGACATTAGAATTGGCATCTGTCCCTCTTTTAAAGCTAAGAATATGTAGTACTGTTACTTAACAGCACAATGTTTTCACTTTTGCTTATCGTAAGAAATTGTTAACACTAACATTAGAAATAGCATCTGCCCCTCTGTTAATGCTAACGCTATGTCTTACTGTTAACATCACAATGTTTTGCACTGCTGCTTATCGTTTTTAAATAGCCGTTAAATATCTACTTTAATTTGCAGCTAATTGCATGCACGCTAGTTTTTCACTAATTAATCAATTAACATTTGCACTGCTGTGCGACTTTTTTCTCTCCAATGGGCTGCCCTTGGCCAGCTTGTCCAGCTACCTGTATAATTTGTTATCTCCATATTACATTTTTAATTTATGTATGAATTGAAAACCAGAATCCGCCGACGACAAGTTTTTATTATTTTGATGCAGCTTGTGCAGCTGACTCTTAGCCTTGAATAATTGAAGCCGTTCCCAAATGATATTTGGCCATCTTAAAGCCGAGTTCAGCTGACCAAAGACCATCTTAAGATGGTCAGAAATTCAGCACGCGTCGCCCATAAATCGTTTCGAAGAATTACTTTTCGATATATATGTATATATATATATATACAATGTATAACAAAATGATTATCAACTTGGTCGGGTTGCATTTGCATGCTGATTAAAAAAGCTTTAGAAAAATAAAAAACAGACAACTGGTTTTTGGAGCTATACGAATTTCGATAAAACAAAAAATAAATAATACATAAAAACGAAACCCGTTTTCAGTACATTTCCATTTCCATTACCTTTATCTGATCTACGTTTGGGACAAGAAATCATATAATTTATGGCTTCGTGAGGGGGAAATGTTTCAATTGCGCTAAACATTTCCTGAAGCTTAAACAATTCAAGTTCAAGGCAAATTATATGATATAACATATAATTCCTATCGAACTACGATCCGTTTTCAAGCCAAACTCTTCTCACGCCGACGCACTCGAGCATAGAAGACCTTGTCGTTGCCTAAAGACCCGCAGCAAAAAAAAAAAACGAGAAAGAAAGGCTATCCACGCCGAAGATCTAATACCCTTGCAGACGCAACCTTTTCATAATGCTTATAGTGTTTTGCCCGTATCTAAGAAGCACAGGGAAAATAGTTAATGCCGAGTTTGCCCAAGATATCTTGAAAAACAAAATGTTTTTTCAAACAAAAACTTAATTTTCGACCGATCGTTCCTATGGCAGCTATATGATATAGTGTTCCGATCTTAATAGGATTTTGCATATATATGAGTAGTAAAGTAAAACTAATAAATGCTGAGTTTGGTCAAGATATCTGAAAAACAAAATGTTTTTTCAAACAAAAACTTAATTTTCGACCGATCGTTCCTATGGCAGCTATATGATATAGTGGTCCGATCCCGCTGCGTGCAACAGAAAGAGGGACTTCTGCAAAGTTTCATTAAGATAGCTTTAAAACTGAAAGACCAGTTCGCATAGAAACAGACATGGCTATATCGACTCGGCTGTTGATGCTGATCAAGAATATATATGCTTAATGGGGTCGGAGATGTCTCCTTCCATGCGTTACACATTTCACGACAAAATTATAATACCCTTTGCAAGGGTATAAAAAAGCCAAAAAAAAGTGTCAAGCCAGTTTGAGCGCAGCCTCAAGTCTGAGATTTATATAGCCATATTCATATACAAGCATATATATCTTGTTATATGTTAAAGTTCAGCATTGGACACAAGTTGTCGTCGGCGTTTTGTCTAGCTACATTAAATCAATGTTTTTCTTGTTTCTTGTTTTTTTTTTGTTTTTTTGGTTTTGGCTTTGGCCAAACCGGTTGGTTTATTTGTTTAAATAAAACATCAACGCTTTCTGACGTCTGCTCGGCACAATAACATCAATTATTCGATTTTGTAATGTTCGAGTTGGGTTCATTGAAGCTTGAAGCTCGTTTTTGCGAGTAAAACTATAATATTGGAATTATGTTAATCTAGCGGCCATTGTTCAATGCGAAAAACTGGCAAAAAATGTTGAATCATATTTGAATTATATTTAATTAGTATATTCAGTATTTAATTTATTTATTCAAGTTGATTCCTTTGTCAAGTCTGTTATTTGAATATTGAACTTTGAGCCGCAGTCCTAGCGGTTTTTTTAAATAATATAATATTTGTATGCCACTGCACGTTTGTTTAGTTAAAGTCTTGTTAATCCGTTACCTACCGCTTAAAGACAAGACCACACGGCACAAAAGAAAAACTTGAAATGAGCTGAAAATTCTACAACAGCTGCCTATTTATACCAGCAAGTTAATATTAAAGCCAACTATAAGCCGGTCCACTTAAACTATTATAAACAATAGCTTTGTGGACCGGTCAGAGCCGAGCTTTTGGCCCGCCCAAAAGCTCTGAGGCTGTAACGGCATTTGTATGAGAACTTTTACGCTTCGGATCATTTCAGGAATAGCATGGGTCATAAGTGTTGCGCTTAGCTAAACGCTGACTAATGCTTTAATCTAAATAAACAATTAGCGACATACATTTGTTTTTGTTATTAATTTTTTTTCCGTATTTCTCAATATAAATTCGCTAATAAATGTCAGAGCGTTTAATTGGAAAGTTAAATAGAAAACCTATGAGACTCTTAGGTGCGAAAATGCATTCATGTAAAGTTTCGTGCTCCTAAAAATAGGCCAATACTGGATTCGTTTGTAGAGCTGTCCAAATTGTTTTTCAATATTTGGCATTTGTTTATTTTAATAGTAAATTTGCATAAACAGCATTTTATGCCCATTATAAAGCCCACTTGACAGCTAAGTTCCTTTTATAGAGAAATTGCACAGCCGATATACTTATGTAAGGGTATTAAGTCTTCGTTAACTCCAAGGCAAATGCTGTTGCTGTGTGCTTTAAAGCTTGCCAATTATAACGGAATCTTTACATTTGTTTACATTAACAAGATAACGGCTTTTGTTGCGTTGCATAAACTTTGAAGGATCTGGCGCCTCTCCAGTGTTGCCACATAATTGCGTTTTTCTGTCATTTTAAACAGTTGATTGGCGAAAATGTATTACAAATAATTCTCGCTTCTCAAACGTCAAATAGGCGTTGCGAAAGCAAATCTTAGCAGTCCTTGCTTAGACAAGTTAAATGTTTAGTAATATTTAATTGAAACCACAATATGGGAGCAGAGCAATCAGCCTTGCTGGTCTGCACACAAACTGGGAAACCGGAAAGGCCTCTAAGGCTGCAAAATGCCGAACTATTTTTTCAACTGTATTTCGATAAAATGCCCGAACCCAAAACAGGACCAGTAACAGAAGCGCTGCTCCATTTGATAATGAATGCGCCACAGCAGAGCTTGGGTAGGTTGTTGAACAAGCAATACAAATTCCCATTAAATGAAAAACAATTCAACTGTAGAATCCAGAGAGCAGGCCAGCTGGGCCAGCCAACAAGAGCCTGATTCGGGTTATGAAAACGACGAGCTAGAAACTGAAGAAACGAGTGAGGAGGAGCAAGATATTGATATGGTATCGGAGGAAGAAATGATTGATCAATTATCCGATAGTGATATGAGCATAGAATCCAGTTCAACTATATATAATATGCAAAATCGTGATGACAGCGATTTTGAGCTAATCCCACTGGAATTTGTCGATCTGCAGCCCATAGATCTGCTCAATATTGATGATCCTCAGCTGGAATTTGAGCAGGAGTTTATAATACGTGTTGCCGATTTGAATGAAGAATGAACAAATCATCTTTTTTTTGGGCTAGTTACAGTTAACGATGTTTTTTTTTTTACATAAATTAAAACTTTATGTACAAGCACTGTCCATGAAATTCTACTTAAAATTAACCTTTTTCAATCTTAGGGATTTAATATTCCTCACAATGCCTCTGCGTTCCTCGCGATGCTTTTTCAGCTCCGCTTCGCGTTTCTTTACCATATGCTGGTTCTTCTTTTCTCTATTCACCTCGAAGGTCATTTGACGATTGCCCAGGGAGCGACCCACATTGGTCACTTGTCCTTCCAGGCTGGTCATGACGCGCACGCGATCCTGTAGACTGGCCTGTTTGATGCGTTGCTCCACCTCGCTGTTGCCATGACTATTGTCCAGCGGCGTTAGCTTGAATTGCGCGCGACTGCTGGATGTGTTGTTGTAATTGCCATTTGCCAGTGGCGCCGCATAATCATCCGGACCATCCGGTTCCTCATCATCGTTCTCTGCTTGCTGCTCTGCTTCTTCCTCGTCATCACGTTGCTGCTTGACCTGTTTGTAGGCCTGCTTCATTTCTTTGACATACTCACGCCTATCCTCATCATCTGAGGAGGCTTCATCGCCGCTACTCGCCTCGCTATCGCCATCGCTCTTCTCAAAGCCAAACAGATCCTCATCGTTATCGCTATCCTCGCGCGTCTGCGCCTCCTCTGCGTGCAGCTCAGAGACGCGTGCAACCTCAATGCGCTGTTTAATCGCCTTCGCCTTAGATTTGTCCAGGCGATTGAGCACTGGCGCAAGCAGACGATACTCCTCGGCCTCCTTGTTGACAGCAAAGTCACTGTTCTCGAACATCGCCTTGAAACGTGTATCTTGCAGCAAACTGGGCATATTGCGTTGCTTGGCGCTATTTGAGGGATTCGCCTGTTCGTCCATAATCTTAAGTGCCAGCTCCTTGTTAACCTTGGGTAGTTTGGATTCAATTTGCAAACGCGATTTGCGCTCGCTCTCAATTTCCTGGCGGACTTTCTCTTTACGGAAGCGATCAAAGGCAAACGGTTCCACCACAGCCTTTGCCTTATTGTACAGCCGCACATCCATAAAGTAGCTGGTTAAGGAGAATGCATTTTGAAGAAGTTGATAATAGATAAAGCCATTGACTCACCCATGCATGTAGCCCTTGAGCAGATTGCTGCCTATGAGATGCTCCAGGCCCAGTTCGGCGAGTTCCTTTTGTGTAATAAACTGATAATCATCATAGACGTTCTCCACAACCTCCGATTCAATCTCCTCGGTAAGATTATCCAAAAAGCTGCACCAGCGCGGCGCTGGGCCCATGGCCGGCACATAGTATGTCAACATTTTGACATCCTCTTGGGCCAAAAAGAACATGCCCGTATCGGGTATGGTGCAAAAGTCATTAAAAGACGACGTAGACTCCACATAGGCAATTTGCTTGCCGGTCTGCTCATCCCATAGCTTTAGCGTAGCTTCATCTAAGCTGTAGACAGCATTCTGTGTCGGATTGAATGCCAGTCGCTTGATGGGCACCTTGTTTAAATGATCTTTGATAAGCAGCGGCTGGCGAGAGCGTATATCGTACAGCAGCACATGTCCCGAGCCAGTGCCAACGGCCATTTGCAGACCATTGCGATATTTGAGTGCTGTGACAGAGGGGAACACTTTGACGTCAGGCAGTTTAATGGCCACATCTAAGGTGGCGCAACGCTGTTTCATGCGTGGATCCCAAGCCTCAACTGTGCCCTCTTTGCTACCCACCGTAAGCAGCTGATGCTCAGGATTTACCTCGCAAGCGTTCAAGCAACTCGCGTCCGATTCATACGGCTGTAGAAACTGGCCACGCTCCAAATTAAGGCGATAGATATCCTAGCGATGAGAAATATTTAGCTCGAATTGATTATCTAAGTGCTTCAGTATACTCACCCTGCCCACGCCCACAATGTACATATCACAGCTGGGCTTATGATACTTCATGTCACGACCAAAGCGTGGAATGCGAAGCCTGTAGTGTCGTCCGTGTGCCGCATGGATTTCTACATAGCGATCGCATTGCAGGAACACCATTTTGCTGTAATCATCGCTTATCACCTCAAACGTGGTCACCTCCGAGTCGAAGCAGCGCTCAAATTTGATGGACAGATTGGAGACCTCAAAGCATTTAACACGTGGCTTATACGTGCCTGTCGCCAGTATATACTGTTGATCCGGGCTCATCCGTATGCTGGTACAGACGCCTGGCATCTCAAAGTCTTGTATTAGTTCAATCTGGCGCCGGGAGTCCGCCTTCTTCTTCAGCTGTGAGCGCTTGCGGCGATCGGTGAGCCACTTAATTGAACAAACATTAATTGCCTGCTGTGCCCAATTAATCAACATTTACTTACATCTGGCACCGATTTGCCGGCGCTTAGGTTATAAATTTTCACATCGTTTACTTCGTTGACAAACATTACTGCATTTTAATAGCAAAAATCGTGCATAAACAAAATAAAACACGTGCGGTATAACAGTGCTGTGCAGCAAGATAACTGAATAATTTTACAGCACTGTCAGCAAGTGCTGCGCACAGCTGTTAATTTGATTACCATATATATATATACCAAAAACCAGTGTGGCAACACCGCGCAACTCGTCGCTAGATTTGCAAACAAGAAAACGCAAAAGAAATTTGCTGCTTGCTGCCAACAGTTTTTATCTTTGCTAATTAAAGTTATTAATTTCGGTGTTTTATATATTCCCGCATATTTATGCTTATTGTGCTGCACTTGTAATAGGCACATAATTGTGCTGGTATCGCATTTGCTTAACTGAAAATATAAACAAATACAGAAGCGTTACACACACACAAAGAAGCAACCAGCAATATTAACCCCCCCGCCAGGCCCGTGCTCGTTGTTGCCGCCCTACATTCCTGTTCCCTAGCAGAAACCAAAATACAGAAAAAATAAAAACGGTGAGTAATACGTTATTTTGTTGCTGTTAAGCCAATTATATAGTGCTGCAGATTTGCTTGCGTCCCAAACTATGTCTTATAATGTACGTAACGTGTGGGTGGGTGTCATTGACGAGGGGAGGGGGTGAGCGCGTCTGGAAGTAATGCAAAGACAACTTTCCCTTGTACTATATAAAATACTCGCTAAGTTGTTTTTGTTGTCGATTTTGTTGTAGGGCAGCGCAGTTTCCCCCCCTCGCGCTCTCGCTCTCGCCCTTGTAATTGATATTAGGTCTCTCTGCCTTGGTCGACTCCCCTCAATTGTTGTTGTCGTTCTCTACTGCCCGGGCGCGCCTTGTGTTTATTTTAACAAATAACGGTGCTTTAGCATGCCACAGGGAATATTCATACACACACACACACACACACTCACACGCATATATTAATTATTTTTTGCGATAAATTTAAAACTCATTATCACCAACTTTTATGCACAACAGACATTTTAAGCTTCAACTTTGTTTTTTTTTCCCTAAGTCAACTAGAACGAGCTGCGATTTCCTAAGCTCTGCACCCGCTTTCATTCATTGTTCTGTGATTGACTGATAAGGGGGAAGCCGTAATCTATACTGTGTGCCTACTTGGCCTGACAATACATACAATAATACACATACATACTAGAATTATGAAGAATTTTACTGCAAGCAATTTAATATGCTACTAAATACACTCAGAGAAAAAGCTACTAGAATTGTGCAGAATATTTCTGTAAGCAATTCAATATGCTACTAAATACACTCAGAGAAAAAGCTACTAGAGTTATGCAGAATTTTACTGCAAGCAATACAATATGCTACTAAATACACTCAGAAAAAAACTACTAGAATTGTGCAGAATATTACTGCAAGCAATTCAATATGCAACTAAATACACTCAGAAAAAAAGCTACTAGAATTGTGCAGAATTTTACTGCAATCAATTCAATATGCTACTAAATACACTCAGAGAAAAAGCTACTAGAATTATGCAGAATTTTACTGCAATTAAAAAAAAACTACTCCCCCCAACCTGTTTGTACTTGTTGTAAGTGCAAAATAATTATTTAAAGTTGATTTTTTTAAATCCAAAATAATGTCGCCTTTTTGGGTTAGTTAAAGCTCAATCAGGATTGTTTTAAAAACGTTTTGTCATTACTTTTAGCAAGTTTCAGACATTGTTTGATTCCTTTTATACTTATTTTAAGAACATGCCAATTGAAATTCATTAGTTTTGTCTTAAATCTATACTGAACCCGAGAATATTTGAGCCTAAATGGCTTTTGCGGCAACAGCGACCTTCGTAACACACACATATTATAAAAGTAATAAATTATACTTTGAATAATAATAATTTTGCCATTGTTATATTCGCTTTACTCGTGCCATAATAAGTATTATATGTACATTACGTGACACATGTAACGTAATGTATTTTGTATTAAAATTAACGTTAGCCTTTCCATTGATTTTTTGTGTTTGATTATTATTAATAAACAACTGCGAATCAAGTCAAATAAATTCATTTAAAATAAACTATGTTGACAAATTCGATTCGGTTTTCACTGTTAGTCCTATATATTCCTATAAACTAGCGGGTATAGCCCGGCCTTGCCCGTGGCACGTATAAAATAAATGTTCTTAAACGTTCCAAACGCTTTCCGCCGATTTACCACTGTTACGGGTGGAATGTCCCAAATCGCTGAAACACGTATTCATTAAGTTCTTTTGTAGAGCTCTAAAACAAATTTGAGGTAAATCGAACAAAACTTACAACTGCACCAAAAAAATCTCAGAATCGCATTCCTACCGAGGATGCTTTGATTCTGCGAAAAATGGGAAACACGTCTCAAATGATTTTCTATATAGATCCTTGAAAATGAATTTGAGCGCGAAACGTCATCCACCAAATCTTTGACCTCCATTTCCACCAAGGAGGAATACATTGTTGGAAAAGTATGAAACACCCCTCAAATGAATTTGAACAAAGAACCTTGAAATTGAGTTTGAGGCGGGTCGGATGGTAAACAAAAAAGTTTCATAAAAACGTTTTTCGCGTTTTTTTCATACTTGCGGATGGAATTTCCCGAAACCCCGTCCTAACGTGCACCTTCATCACATAAGGTAACTACAGTGAAAATTTGAGCTTCCTAGCTCGAACGGTTTGGGCTGTGCATTGATCACCAATCAGTCAGTCAGTCAGTCAGTCAGTCAGTCAGTCAGTCAGTCAGTCAGTCAGTCAGTCAGTCAATCAGTCAGTTAGGACAAAGAGAGATAACACATTTATTTAGGTACATATGAAAGAAGCGACGTAGCTTAAAATCTGTATATCTCTATATATAAAACTGTTTGTCCTGACTGACTGACTGATTGACTGACTGACTGACTGATTGACTGACTGATTGACTGACTGACTGACTGACTGACTGATTGGTGATCAACGCACAGCCCAAACCGTAAGAGTTAGGAAGCTGGCGTGCTTTCATTTGGCTTACCAGAATCGCACTACTGCAATGTTTATTTAATATCCCTCCGATGAGTTTGCTTTTTTTTGAATACATTCCAAATTTTGATAGCTCGCCATTTTTACCATACCTTTGATAATTTCGGCATTGTTTAATGCGTGTTATTTGATAGGCACGCGGGGAGCGTTGTTTTGCGACTATGTGAAAAACTTTAAAAGGGGGTTAAGACCCAAATGCGAGACAACTCTTTAAATAAAACAGCTCGGTTTTAGCTCAGTCAATAAACAAACTGGACGGCTGTGTAAACATGAGGCACAAGACTCACAATTGGGTACAGGCCCAGACCACGCTGGCGACGTGCCACAAAAGGCAGCCAGAAGTGAAGCGACGCTGAAACCAATTAATGCAGCGTTACAAATGCTTGATAAGCATAGGTCGCGACACCACACTCAAGTTGTGCCCTCCACATATGCATATACACAGAAATATATGTCTGATATAAAAGCGGCAAATGTTAACTGTCTTGAGTGGTTCGCCAAAGAGTCAGCAAAATGGATGTGAAACGGCACAAAATGCGGAGTATTGTTAACAAACTCTACGAACGCATTGATTATCTGATAGAGAAATGTGCGAGTTATCTAATTGAGTATACCTTGCTCTGAGCACATATTAAAAATTATGTTTAACATTAATCCACAGGTCCCAATATGACTGCAGCACCCTATAACTACAACTATATATTTAAGTACATCATAATTGGTGACATGGGCGTGGGCAAATCCTGTCTGCTGCATCAGTTTACCGAGAAGAAATGTAAGTACGATATTTATCTATATATACATAAAACTGAATCTGACTGATTGACTGATTGATGATAAATGCACACCCCCAAACCATCAAGCTTAGAAAGCTGCATTTTTGAAACTTACTTACCTTTTGTTGTATAATTGCTCCCGCAAGAGTGAAAATCAATTATCTATATTTTTTGGGATTTTATACGATCCATTTTAAAGATAATAGACTGTAAGGAAATTGGATATACAAAATAGAATATATCCGATTTTACACCGCACACAAATGCATATATATATACATATTCGGATTCCTATATTCTTCTTCCTTTTTGAAAGGAAATGGAATAACAAATATTTGGAATACCCTGCCTTAGAATAGATATTCCATTTCAATAGCTCAACAGTTTATTTATTAATAGCGAAGTATACGAAACAGGGACTCTACTTCCATATATTCTTATGTTGCTTGTTGTTTCTTAAACGTTCTACTAAACACATTTTAATCCACAGTTATGGCCAACTGTCCGCACACAATTGGCGTGGAGTTTGGTACACGGATCATTGAGGTTGATGACAAGAAAATCAAGCTACAAATTTGGGATACGGCCGGTCAGGAGCGCTTTCGTGCTGTGACACGTTCGTATTATCGCGGTGCTGCTGGTGCTTTAATGGTTTACGACATAACCAGGCGGTAAGTCACCTCAATGAACCGAAAATAAATGTATTATTAAATGAACATAACAATGTACACAGCTCCACGTATAATCATTTGAGCAGCTGGCTCACCGATACGCGCAATCTCACAAATCCCAGCACTGTGATCTTTCTCATTGGCAATAAATCCGATTTGGAGAGCACACGCGAGGTAACATACGAAGAGGCTAAGGAATTCGCCGATGAGAATGGTCTCATGTTTTTGGAAGCCAGCGCCATGACGTAAATATGCAAATATATTACAAAAAGATCGAAATCTTAAATGCATTTCTAATTAATTTAGTGGTCAAAATGTGGAGGAGGCCTTTCTTGAAACGGCACGCAAGATCTATCAAAATATACAGGAGGGTCGCCTGGATTTAAATGCATCCGAATCGGGTGTGCAGCATCGACCCTCGCAGCCGTCACGTCCATCTCTCAGCAGCGAGGCAACGCATGCCAAGGATCAGTGCTCGTGTTAAATGTATTAACTTTATTTACACACATAGTTATAAACAATCGAAATTTAATATTTAGTGCAACTCATAATCATATTGATTTCTTATCTATCTAAAACCAACACGTAAACAAATATGCAATGATAATGAAAACAAAAAATACATATGTATGTAGTTAAATGATTGGATTAAGTCGTGAAAAAGTGTGAACAAACAACCAAAATATATAAACGTCCCCGACATTAAGATATCTGTGTAATATCTAGTAAGCTATTGATAGAAAATTGAATAGCTAAATTCAACTGTTGCATTACATCTCATTAATCGTTGCAAAAGCTATGAAACTGTTTTGATATTTAGAAAAGAAAATTATGCAAATGTTGGAATGTCTCTTATTTCAATATACTTTCTACATTAAACATTTTACACTTTTTTTCCTTTTTGTTCTAAATACAAAAATTTGTTAGAAATAATATGTATATATTATAATATGAATTTGTAACTCCTTTATGCTCATTTTGTTGAATGTTGTGTATTGTAAACGTGCATAATTGGGCGAGCAATGTTATATGAATATTAAAGACGTATTTAACACAAAATGCTATAGGTAATAAAGAAAAAATATTTATAAAACCCAAGAAAAGTACGTATTCCAAATCAAAAGACTAACGAGTGCGCGCTTAGGCTCTGGTTACAGTGCGCACACACAAACAGGTGGCAACGCTGTCAAAGCTGGTTACAAATTGATTAAATCTAATTAAGATGGCGTTTGTAAGCCAAGAGATACCAAAATAACGACGACCTGATATTTGTGAATCTTATATATGCGCAAACCCATAGGCAATAACGTAAAAAGGATTTGGTAGGAACCTGATATAGCCGTCAAATCAAAAACCAACGAATGCGCGCTCACGAGCTGGCGCACGAACGGATGGCAACGCTTGATATCGATAGCCGCACTATCGATATCAAGTATGCAAATTAATTGAATTTAATTAAGGCAGCGCTGGTAATGCAAGAGTTGTGTTGACGACATGGCACAAATTCCGGTTTTTTTGGCCTCGCTGTGATGAAATCTGCGCTAATCGTTAAGCATACAACAGCTAATCAACATATGATGCAAATTAAGCGTCTGCTATGCAAATCCTGCACCCTCGGCACGCTGCTCATTGCGGGCGTGTGGATGCTGGCGCTGTTGGCCTACATGCACCATCTGCGTGGTTCCATTCCGGCGGCTGGCTGGCGCTTTAATAACTCTGCAACGCCCCGTGCGGAGCTAAGCTATCAGGCACAGGTAACCGTTGGCTGTTCGCCCACCTCGCTAAACACCACACACGCTGCGTCAGCGGGGGCGGCGGCGCAGGATCAGTTCGAGCTGCTGGGCGTGGTGCGTAACAAGCAGGACAAGTACATACGCGACATTGGCTACAAACATCATGCGTTCAATGCACTTGTATCGAATAACATTGGTCTCTACCGGGATATACCTGATACACGGCACAAGGTGTGCAAGCGCGAGGAACCGTTGGAGCCGGAACAGCTGCCACAGGCGTCGGTTATTATGTGCTTCTACAACGAACACAAAATGACGCTGATGCGTTCCATTAAAACCGTGCTGGAGCGTACGCCGGGCCATCTGCTAAAGGAGATCATTCTGGTGGACGACAACAGCGATTTGCCGGAGCTGGAATTTCATCTGTTGGCGGATCTGCACGCTCGTCTCAAGTACGACAATCTGCGCTATGTGCGCAATGATCGGCGCGAGGGTCTGATCCGCTCCCGCGTTATTGGTGCACGCGATGCCAACGGCGATGTTTTGGTTTTTCTGGACTCGCACATCGAGGTGAATCGCCAATGGCTGGAGCCACTTCTGCGTTTGGTTCACGCAGAGAATGCGACGCTGGCGGTGCCCGTGATCGATCTCATCAATGCGGACACATTTGAATACACTCCCAGTCCGCTGGTTCGCGGCGGCTTTAACTGGGGGCTGCACTTTCGCTGGGAAAATCTGCCCGAGGGCACGCTGAAGGTGCCCGAGGATTTCAAGGGTCCCTTTCGATCGCCCACCATGGCGGGCGGACTGTTCGCAGTGAATCGCTTGTATTTCCAGCACATTGGCGAATACGACATGGCCATGGATATCTGGGGCGGCGAGAACATTGAGATCTCGTTTCGCGTCTGGCAATGTGGCGGCGCCATTAAGATTGTGCCCTGCTCCCGTGTTGGTCACATATTCCGGAAGCGACGTCCCTATACGGCGCCCGATGGTGCTAATACCATGTTGAAAAATTCGCTGCGTTTGGCCCATGTCTGGATGGACAAGTACAAGGATTACTATCTGAAGCATGAGAAGGTGCCGAAGGATTATGACTTTGGTGACATCAGTGCGCGGCTGCAGCTGCGCGAGCGTCTGCATTGCAAGGACTTCGACTGGTATCTGAAGCATGTCTATCCTGAGCTGCGTGTGCCCGGCGACGAGTCCAAAAAGCCAGCTGTGGCGCCTGTTTTTCAGCCCTGGCATTCGCGCAAACGCAACTACCTGGACTCGTTCCAGCTGCGCCTGTCCGGCACCCAGCTGTGCGCCGCCGTGGTGGCGCCCAAGGTGAAGGGCTTCTGGAAAAAAGGCAGCTCGTTGACTCTGCAAAACTGCCGAACGCGTGCACCCAACCAGATGTGGTATGAGACGGAAAAATCGGAGATCATACTGGACAAGCTGCTGTGCCTTGAGGCGGCAGCGGATACGCTGGTCATCATCAACAAATGCCACGAAATGCTGGGCGATCAGCAGTGGCGACACACGCGCAATGCCAACAGTCCCGTCTACAACATGGCCAAGGGCACCTGTCTGCGCGCCGATGCTGCCAAGGAGGGCGCCACCATCAGCCTGGATCTGTGCTCCAAGGCGGACGGCGTGGGCGGCGCCTGGGACATTGTGCTACTAAAGCAGGAGCAGCAGCAGCAGCAGCCAAAGCCGGACAAGCAGCTGTGAACGGCGCAGTCGGTCCGTCATGCAATAATTAGACTGATGTTAGTCTCTAAGTATAAGCTGTTTTCAATGCTGTATTAAGTTTCGAATAGTCAGTATTTTTGCACAAAAGGTTATTTTTTAACAATCAATGACAATGGTGAATGCTATAATTCAAGAAAAATCAAATCCATTAATTCAAAGTATTCATATGTAAACGTACGATTAAAATGTTTTGTAGAAAGTATATATAAATCACGATTCTATTAAAATATCTCAAATATATTTATGTAGATATCTATAAGTTCAATATATAAATATATATAAATATATATATATATATATATATATCTGTTAAATCAAAACGTATGGAAGCAATGTAATTAATTTTATTTTAATCATCATGTTCAGTAATAATAAAGCTTTTATAATTTATTAAAAAGAAATTATAATTTATAAAGCAAGAAAATACTAATAGGGTGGCAGTACTTTAAATAAACAGTTACATAACTGTTAACTCCTATAAAAGTTTTGTGGCAACATAATTTGCAAATTAACGTAGATTTCTTCTTTAATTGAATAATTTTTAGTCGAGCTTATAAAATGCTTTTGCAAATTTAGCAAGCATTAAATAAAAATAGCGCTCACTCGAATGGTGGAATGACACTCTATGTTTAATTTGAGTGTTGGTGCATGGTGCGACGAAATGTTAGCACGTGTCATTCCACTGCTTGCAGCTGTTTTTTGCTCTGGCGTTAGCCAGCACTAGTTTGGTCGCGTCGTTCTTGCAAAGTGGCGCGTAAATCGGCAAATTGTTTAAAACTAAGTGAAAAAATATAGATAAAAGCCATAAAATGGAAGGAAAATCTATAGTAAGCAGACAGGAGCCGGTGTTGCATTTAGGTGAGCATCAAATAAACACACATTTTGCAGTTTAACCATGTAAAAACGCTCTGCTGAACAGATACCAATGCACGTCGCAATTTTATCAAGTTCCACAACAAGCTGGGGGAGGTGAGTTGCAGATTTTTATTGCGTTTGAATTTAGTTAATTTACATATTAGATTACATTTCCCATAGAAACCCAGGTCGACAGTGCGCTTTTACGATCAAACCGATTGCTATACGGTGCACGGCAGCGATGACTGCGAACAGGTGGCCAAAATTGTCTACAAATCCACGGCGTATGTGCACCCACTGCTGCCGGACGACAAACAGGAAACGTTGCAGTATGTGGCAATGTCCAAGGCCAACTTTGAGCTGGCGGTGCGCGATTTGCTATTGGTGCGCAATTTGCGAGTTGAGGTATATGTGAGACGCACCGAGTGGCAGCTGGAATACCGCGGCTCGCCGGGAAATCTGTTACAGTTCGAGGACATTTTGTTTGCCAACAAGGAGGTGCTGGTGGGCAATACCATCATATCGCTGCAGGTTAAGCTGGAGGGCGGCACTCAGCGTCGAGTGGGCGTGGCTGCCGTTGAGCAAAACGATTGTTCATTTCAGCTGCTTGAATTTGTGGACGACGATTTCTTTACCGAACTGGAGGCCACCGTGGTGCTACTGGGTCCCAAAGAGTGCCTGCTGCCGTCAGCTGAAGGCGAATACACAGCCGTCAAGACGCTGCTGGAACGCAATGGTGTAATGATTACGGTGCCCAAGCGTGGCAGCGCTGCCGAGCGCAATGATCTGCTGCAGGACTTGAATCGACTGCTGCGCTTTGCCAAGGGACAGCAGGAGGATGCCAATGGTCGCAAGGAGCTGCAAATGCAATTGGCCGCCGAGGCGCTGCGTGTGGCCATCCGATATTTGGATTTGATCAATGATGCCGGAAATTTGGGACACTACGAGCTCAAGCAATTGGACCTAAAGCGGTGTGTATAGTTAAATAAAACCGTATACATTTATATTTATTAAATTATGCGTTTTTTGCAGCTTTGTGCACCTAGATTCGGCCGCTGTGGCCGCTCTCAATATAATGCCCAAGCCCGGCACACATCCCACAATGCCTTCGTATCGCTGGCAGAGCATTCTGGGCGTGCTGGATCATTGCCGAACGCCACAGGGCCATCGTCTTATGGCGCAGTGGGTGAAGCAGCCGCTGCGCAGCTCCGAGATACTCAACGATCGACACAACATAGTGCAGTGCCTGTTGGAGTCACCAGAGACATTGGATACGCTAAGTATGGACTACTTGAAACGCATACCGGATATCCTAATGCTCACCAAAAAGCTGATGCGTCGCAAGGCCAGTCTGCAGGATCTATTTCGCATTTATCAGGTCATTTTGCGCACACCAAAGATTCTTCAGCTGTTATTGAGCCTGGAGCACAGCACAGTGCAGAGCGTGCTTTGTGCGCCCTTTAAAAGCTTTTTGGAAGATCTAACTGGTCTGAAACAAATGGTCGAGCAAGTGGTGGATTTTGAGTCCATTGAGAAGGGCGAGTATTTGGTCAAGAGCACCTTCGACAATCGCCTCATGGAGCTGCAGCAGACCATGACGGAATTGTACAACAAAATGGAGCGTCTGCAAAACAAGTGCTGTGAGGAGCTTGATTTGGATGGCAAGATGGTCAAGTTGGAGAATGTGGCCAAGCTGGGCTATCATTTGCGCACCACAATCAAAGATGATTCTGTGCTGCGCAAGAATAAAAACTATCGCATTGTGGATGTAATTAAGGGCGGCGTGCGTTTCACCTCCGACAAGCTGGAGAGCTATGCGGATGAGTTCGCCAGCTGCCGCACACGCTATGAGGAGCAACAGCAGTCCATTGTCGAGGAGATTATCCAAGTGGCCGTTGGTTATGCGGCTCCGCTAACCTCCCTAAATAATGAGCTCGCCCAGCTGGATTGCCTGGTCAGCTTTGCCATAGCCGCACGTTGTGCTCCGACGCCCTATGTGCGACCCAAAATGCTGGCCGAGGGTGCTGGCAAGCTGGTGCTTGAGGATGTGCGTCATCCGTGCTTGGAACTGCAGGAGCACGTGAGCTTTATAGCCAATAGCGTGGCTTTTGAGAAGGGTGCGTGTTTCTTGTTTTAAGATTTAAGATTGTTGCTTATGTTATATTTGTATTTTCACAGACAAGTGCAACATGTTTATAATAACCGGTCCAAATATGGGCGGCAAAAGCACGTACATACGCTCCGTGGGCACAGCTGTTCTAATGGCCCATGTTGGCGCCTTTGTGCCCTGCAGGATGGCTACCATAAGCATGGTGGACTCCATACTAGGCCGCGTTGGCGCCAGTGATAATATAATTAAGGGATTAAGCACCTTTATGGTGGAAATGATTGAAACCTCGGGCATAATAAGGGTAAGTAACACCATATATCCATTTAAATATTGAATTCTTTGCCCGGCTGATTTAAATTTGATAGTAATATTCCTGCCACGCCCGCTTCCTGCCCCTTTAGGCGCCACAATCTATGTATTCCCCAGTTTGAGATCTAAAGACACCTAATTAGGTGGTTGTTAATGATCTACTTTAAAGATCGAGTCCTTACTCTAACCTCACGCCCACTCCTGCCCTATTAAATTGTCAACATCTTAATATTCCTTACTTTGAGATCTAGAGACAACTCTTTCAAAGATAAAGTCATAATTCCATCCGCCATGCCCACTCTCGACCCCGTAAGATGAAGCCTACTCCCGCCCCAGAATATGCTACGATTCATATTACCTTCAGGTACAGTTTGAGAGACACTTCCGATGCGCAAATGCATGTTTATGAAGACTTATCGCCTGTTTTCAATTATTTTGAAAATATAACTCTGTCGGTTGCATTCGACTGCAAAGTTCTTACTTTTTTTTTTTAAATTGTGTTCTGTTTTTTGGGTAAAGGCAAGCATTGTGGTATTCTTCTAAAGAGTCAGAGTCGACTGTATATCTTGTGTTGTTGGTTTTTTTTTTGTGTTGTGCTTTGTGGTGTTAGAACAACCATATCCATATCGCCAGGAAGAACCACTTTTTTTTTTTAAATCTTGAATCGATTGCCTTAAAACTCAACTCCAAGCTTTCTGCAAGCACTCACTGGACATTTTTTTTTTACCAACATCAAAAATTCAACACCCTGTGTGGTTGTATTTATTCAAACTCAGCTCCAAGATCTATGTAAACGCTGCTTTGGAATTTATTCTTTCTTGATAACTAAAAATTCTACCCATGTGTGGAAGTTGGCAGTCCCTGGCTTAATGACGCATATGTCACTCTTTACGGGCGGCTGATCGCTTAAAATTATTAGGAACACACGGGCAAAGCCAGATTTTACACCAGCAAGCTTATTATAAATTTTTAAATCGCAGACTGCAACGGAGAAATCACTGGTCATCATCGATGAGCTGGGACGCGGCACATCCACCTATGAGGGCTGTGGCATAGCCTGGTCGATAGCCGAGCATTTGGCAAAACAAACGAAATGCTTTACGCTCTTTGCAACACATTTTCACGAGATCACCAAACTGGCCGAAACATTACCAACAGTTAAAAACGTTCATATGGCTGCTGTGGCGGATGAGGATAACTTCACGCTGCTGTATCAGGTGCGGCCGGGAGTCATGGAGAAGAGCTTTGGCATACAGGTTGCACGACTGGCCAATTTTCCGGAGCATGTGGTACAAAATGCGCAAGAGGTGTACAATGAGTTCGAGGACGAACATGCGGGCAAGCAGAGTGAGGCGGATAAGGCGCTGCTGGATAAGATACAAGTGGCCATAGAACAGCTATCAACGGCTGGCAATAATACGGATATCAATGTGGAGGATCTAACACAGCTGGTGGCACAGTTTGCCAAGGATATTAAACAGCTGGACAGCGATTATTTCAAGACTGTGCTAACCAGCAGCGAGCCTTAGCACACAGATGCTACTCTAATTTAAAGAAAAGTTTTCGCTTTTAAAGTGAATAGTTTCTGTAAAATATTAAAAGAGCTTAGAGATTATAGTAATACAGTATTCATACGAGAGCTATCCATCCAGAGTCTTACGTTTATTATTTAAACATTTATTGGTCTTTTTTTCTTATTATCTGTAAAATTGTTTTTCTGTCTTCTCTTTTCATTTTTCTTTTTTTTTTTAATTCATATTGTATCAGTTTTAAACCGTTTCTGTTTTAAACATCAAATTTTTGCATACGAATTTTGCACTAATGCATTTGAATTTTCTAATGAAATTAAAAATAATTTTACTATTATTAAATATTATTAATGGGTTTTTAGTTTAGTGGACATTTGGTATTATATAGTAATAATTGCGATGTTGTCGCTCGTTTTGAATTGCAAAAATCCATGCGAATTATTACCAGTTATATTTATGCACATCATTTAGTTTAGTAGTTTATTACATTTTACAACGTTTAAACACTCCAAAAAATAAATATCGTATTAGTACGCGTAAACATTTAATTAGTTTAGTTTTGGTTTCATTATGTTATTTTATTTTTTTTTTTATTTTTGTAAATTACATTTAATAGTTAACTGTTTAGTTTTAAAATTTCCATCTTCATTTTGATTTCAATAATGTTTCAAATTCGATAAGAAACTGAATTTAAAAAACATTTCACCACACTTCGTACTTGCATCAAATTTACTTTTCTATGCATAAATTCATAAAATGTTTCGAAATACGATACAAAGGCAATTGGGTTGTTTTTTCAACAATATTTGTTTCTTTTTTTGTGTTTTTTTTTTTTTTGTATTTGGTTTTACAATTTCTTGTTGCTCGTGTAAATGTTGCGCTGAATTTTGTTTAGCCAAAAAATCGATATAGTTATAAGAAGTTTTTGTTTTTTTTTTTTGTTGTGCAACTTAATTGAGGTTCTCGAAATAAGTATTGCATACTTTTCAGGTGGTCCTATTTGAATACCCCTGCAGCGGGTCTTGTTAGCTTTTTGATACAATTTAAGAACTAAATACAACAGATTATAAAATATCTCGATAGCTTGAATTCAAATAATAGGCTAAATAATATAATTGTGAAGATTTGCTTTTTTTTTTAATTTTAATTTCGTTTATGATTTGAAACCATTTTTGGACTCTTCTAGACATTTTAAAGTTGTGTGGCCTAAAGATCTGCAAGGGTATTGAGAGCATCGGGCGAACCGAAGTCAACTTCTTGAATTTAGAGTGCATATTTTCTGCTTGTCTGCTTTCGAGCGTAAAATAAATTTAACGGTTTTAAAAAATACAATAAAATCGTTACAAATACTTCCCGTACATTATTACAATACATATACAAAAATCATATATATAAACTTTGAATAGCGGTTAACAAATATCTATAAAAAACATTGAATACATTAAATATATTTTATATTCTAGTTTATATATTATATTTAAACATATCCTTTGATTTTTACCATTTAAAAAATCCATCTGATTGTATACGAAAAAGCTAAAGAATTTTGCAAGACTTTCAATACAAGTAGTATATATATTCTTCGGTTGGGCAAAAGGGACGAAATATTTATATGTAGGTCTGTTTATAGTGTGCTTTTGTGTGTGTTTCGATTTTTTCATTTATAAAAAATCAACTAATTTTATAAAATTACAAAAATAATTGTTATTTGAATTATTTTTGTTTACATACATAGTTAATATTTGGCATAGGTTTTACCATTTTTAAACCATCAAAATAGTTAATGAAACGTGCGCCTCTCAGCTATATGCATTTTGTATAAAACTTAAATTTCATTCAAAGTTTTCGATAAACAGCCGTAAGAGCTAAAAAAGTGGTTGAAATTATACGAATTTAGAAATATTTTAGGAGTTGCTTCTTCGACTGCTTAGCAACGATTTCTAATGTTTTTTTAGTTTGTAAAGTAAAACGATTTTTATTCTTAACGTTTGGCGTATTTTATAAGTCTAAGAGTTGAAATTGTTGTTACTAAATTTGCTTTAAGTTTTTTTTTATAAGATTGTGCCTTTGTTTTTTTTAGTTGGTTTCTGTTATTTGTTGTTAAACATTCGACTAGAATTGTACTACACAATAGTTTACAATCTAAAAACCAACAGATCGCAATAGTACATAGGTATATATTATATATATATATATGCTTATATATACACATATATTGTATAAACTAGACGCGCATAAAGCAACGCGTCAAGTAAAACATCAAAAGTATGGTCAGCGGCAGCAGCTGAAGCGTCAGGCCCAGCCGTGAGGCGTTGCCGCAATAGGTGAACAGTTCCTCCTAAAAAAAAAAACATTTATAAATATGTATATAATGGAATCTCGGTATTAAATTGAAATGGTTAACTCACATCTTCGTGCTTCGTGTAGCACTCCTCAATGCGCCGACGCTCGTAGAAACTCATATTCAGCTTGTAGCAGGGAAACTCCTCTTCGTAGTTGGTTATGCGCTGCGGTTCGGTGGTTAGGCGTACGCTGCGCGATGGCATCAGTACATTGACCACCATCAGCACCAGATTCGTGTTGGGTATCTTTTTTACCAGAAATGGACGCGTCGATGGCACCTCTATGTAGTCATTGATGCCCACCAGGGCGGAGGGTTGCAGCGCGTAAAGCGTTGAGCGCATATCGCAGGGCTTGTAAATGGGCTCCGGTTCGGGCTCTTGAAATATGGCCTCACCATCATCGCCATCCTCTTTGGGCTTGGCTGCTGATGGCGAATTGCTGTCGCCCACAGCCACATATTCATCCTCAATGTTGTCCAAATACTCCATAACTAATTGACAAAATAAAATGTGCATTTTGCTGATTAATTTAAGTTGGTTTTCCAGCTACGATTTACTTACAGGGCGCACCATCCACCCACCATTGTACTCTTTGATAGTGCCAGAAAAGCTGCGCTATTAACCACTTCCAAGCTAGGCCGAGCACTTGTAGCGGCTGTAAAATAATTATATGTTATATATATATGTGGCTATAAACATATTAATATTTTTTATAAAAATGGTCTCTAAGATGTCACGACGTGGTTTCCATCAGGGGTGTAACAGTTATTAAACGGTTTGTGCTCAAGCATATTTAAACCAGGTTTGAAATAGGTTTGAAACAGGTTTCGAACAGGTTTGAAACCGGTTTGAATCTAGGGATTGACGCATGTTTTACAAAGGTTTGATTCGGGTCTCATACTTGTTTCAAAAAGGTTTCATGTAGGTTTGAAACAGACTTCGAAACAGGGCTTTACGCCTTTTCAAAAAAGCGTGTATCAGAATTCAAGCAGTTAAAATTTAATCTTCTACGTGGTCCGCTCACTCACATGCAACAGGCTGTGTCCATCGCTGGGCGTTGTTGGCTCTACTTTGCATAGCCCCTGATAGTCATAGACCTCGATGCTTTTGAAGATGCCTTTCTGGACCATGGCGGCCATAACATCGCCATGGAATTCGCCAAAGAATTTGCCCGTCGTATTTATGTTCTGACCAACAACAATGTATGCATTGTTATCGATGACCGAACAGTCGACGTCATCATCCGTGCAGATGGGCAGGCAATTGTTGCACTGTGCGTGAAAAAGAAAAAAAGTAAAGATCCGATTGATTCGCGTTTGTTCCCTGCACTCACATTATCCACGGCGGTGATGTTGAAGAAGCGCTCCCACATGCGCGCATGTGAGAACTGGAAACCGACTACGCAGGCGGGCGCCTCTTTGCCGCCATCACGTGGAAAGATGGCATGCGAGGCGGTTACCTTGAGTTCGCTATCCTCCAGCGGATCGTTATAGTGTTTAACCGAATAGACAAAGCTCTCGGTGTTCTCCTGATGATGCTGCAATATGGCGCTCTTGTACCAGGTCTCATCAATGGCTGTTGTATGATAATCGCCAAATTCCCGATCCGTATCCACTTCCACCTCGCCAAAGATGAACTGCCAGCGTGTCAGGCCACTCATGGTGGCCACGAAACGCAGTGTGGCACCAAAACGTTCAATTAGCTGTCGCTCCTGATCATTCTCGAACTTCCATTCGCCGTAGCTAAAATTGGTCACCTTGGCATCAAAGATGAGCAAGTGCACCAGCTCCTTGTTGCAATAGTAGGCATCATCGCCGAGCGTTTTGCGACCGCAATTTACTGCGATTGAAAGGGAGATTAACTGGCGTTGGTTGTGGTTTGGTGCTGCTATGGAATACTCACAATCATCTTTGTCATCCCAATCGGACTCATCTTCGGCATATTGCTCTGGCCACTTCCAGTCGGGTTTCATCATCTTTTCCAGAAACTCGCGCAGTTCCGCTTCAGGCGTCTTGAATTCGTGACCCTCAAGATAGTGATACTTGCAGTAGACCCTAGAAAAATTGTTTGGGATAGGAATAGGGAATCAACAGCGCGTTAGTCGAAAATGCCTGACTAGGGTAAAACAATCTTCCACATACCAATCGGGATGCACTTTCCAGTTTTCGCCAATGAAGAACTCCGATATGTTAACCTTCATGTGTTTGTTCTTGTCCACCTCATCGCCCACCTTGATCCAAGTCTTGCCATACTCGCTGGGCATTACAATGCCCAGAGTAAATGGGGTATTGGGCAGCGGCGCAAAGAAATAATCCTGTTTCTCTTCCGAGACGCGACGCATTTTATCATAATGGAACTTAACCGGAATATCCCTAAACTCGTTGGCCTCATGATGCACCATAGCGCTGCGTAGGTTTAATATGGATTGTCCAGGCTCGCGCGGATTCTGATCCTCAAACAAATGCTCTACTTCGGTAAAATCAATGCTGTTATAGTTGGGATTCATTTTGCCATTGGACTGAAGAGCAGGGATTATAGATAATTACAATTTTCCGGTTAGTTAAAAGTATTTTGCTTACGCCAATGGGTCGCAGATCCGGATGCAGCAGCATGTAGCCATTGTTGGAAACCACAAAGGAGTAACCATTTACGCCCAACTGTAAGAATTGGTCAGCTCATTCAATACATTCTCATAGGATTCCCAAGTAGCTCTTACCTTATAGGGCAGGGTTAGCTTGTCGATATCCTCGACTGGCAAATCCGTTCCGGCCACGCCCAGTAGACGAGCGCGTCTCCTTGTGCTGTTCTCATGGAGATAGGAACGATCAAAGGCGGGCACGCCCACCGCTATCATGAGACGTGGTCGCCGTTCCGTGCTATTCATGGGATCATACTGCAAGAATGGAAGATTCAGATATAGGTTTTGGGCATCTACGAGAGAACCAAACCAACCGTTTTGTCTGTAAAAGCATGCGTCCAAGTAGGCGGATGCTGTTCATTCTGCAGCACCAGGGGCGTGGCTATAACATCGACATACTTGAGCACCTCCTCGTGTACCTCGTCGAGCGTCTGGACATGCGAATAGTAGCCACGATTCAGACAGGCCATCCATTGTATCTCGCGTACCTTGGTCACCTCCTTGCCCAACAGATACGTAAAGATGCGCACATTCATGCGCGAGGTGCCGTTCTCTCCATCACCCCAGTTGTACTTTTCAAAGACATCGGTGGTATTGCCGGCAACGCCGTCAGTGACCAGCATAATAGCCTGGTTGCAGGTGGAGGTTTCATTGCAGCGACGATTTATATAATAATTGCGTAGAATTTGAAAAGCGTGCTCGTAGGCCAGCGTTAGATTCGCATAGCCCTCGGGATCTTCCAGTTCGGCAATGGCCGAGTTGAAGACATCAATGTTTTCTGGTGTGGCTTGCACCAGAGCGTCCTTGAAGCAGGGAATAATGCCCTGCACCTCGCTGGAATACCGAAAAATTGTGAAGAAATCGTTGTTGGAGAACGTGTCCAATATGCTGCGTATGGTGAACTTGGCCACATGATGGCGATGACCAGTCATCGAGCCCGAGTGATCCAGCAATATGACAATATCCTTGGAGCATGTGGCCGTTTCAATGTACCAGGAACGTTTGCGACAATCATAGGTATCCGCATCCAGTTTATTTGCGCGCGAGTCTGACCACTGTGCGGCGGGATAGTGACGCAATATGCCCGTATCGGAGCCAAAGTATTGCCAGGATAATGCTGGATCGGACTGATAGTTCTGTCGGAACACCTCATCCAGCTGCTCCGACCATTGTATTGTCTTAAGTACATGCGGCGCACGATCCCACACGTTCGAGGGCACATGCACCGAACTGTGCTCCGTATCTACGGATATATTGTAGAAATGAGTGTCCGGATTTAGCATCATATCGCGATACATATACGCATATCCTTCCTCATTGGGCGCCAACTGCTCCGAGCTGTTACCATTGAATGCCGAGTACTTGCTGGAGTAGTAGGTGAAGTTCGCCTCAGCATATGTCTGATTGAACTCAAAGTTCTCGTTAACACTCTCCGCCTTCTCCTGTATGCAGCGCACTGCGTCCATTTTTCGTGCCAGCATTTTGCCCACATTCGCTGTGATAGATTTGATCAGTTCAGAGCCATTTTTTAGTTCCACGCGTGCATTGTACCCTTTATATTTCTCTTTGATCTGCTGCGATTTGGTTATCTTTTGGGCCAGCAGAAATAGCTCGTCTCCAAATTGGGTTGCCCATTTGCCAACGCTGAAAACCAAAAATTAAGTTGAATTGCATTAGAAAACTAAGTCAAAAATCTCTGTGCATTGATAGGTTTATGAATTGTTCAAGAACCAGTCGAAATGAGTGCCTAGCAAAATGAAGGAAGTGATTCCACTATATACATATTTGCCAGATGTTGGCAAGAGTCTGGTTATATTAAATTGAAGTTACAAAAACAACTAGAACTCTTTTTTCGACCCATCCGCACTTTTGTAGCTGAGAATCCAAAATGAACTAATTTAAATTTCTATATCTTTCCAATTTCTCAAAAGTTCCAATTAGGTTTGTCCTATACCAGTTCCTGTTAACTCGCCAGCAATCTGGCAACGCGAAATGGCAACGTCACAGCTGCCCCGTATAGAAATGTCAACCACCTGTCGACTTGCAAGTAAAACGAGGCCTCTAATTAAATTAGCGCAAATGTCTCACAAGAGTGTGTTGGTAACGAGCACGGCCAAAAGGTGTGCATGTGTGCGCGTGTGTGTGTGTGTGTGTGTGTGTGTGTGTGTGTGTGTGTGTGTGTGGCTGTGTGCGGCAAAGAAACTAGCCAAACCAAAAACAGTCTAAGCAGCAGCGCTGCAGCGCCGTGACGCAGGCAGCGAGCAGAAACAGCTGTGCTTGGGCATTGCTTAAGTGTGTGTGCGACTTTTGCGTATGTGTGTGTGTGAGAAATCAACAAGTGCCTAGATAATGCGCGCGCAGGTTGTTCATGAAACTCTTCATTTTGAAATACTCTTAAAAAAATGATGCTCTTAAATTAAAGAGTGCGCTATAAAAACAATTATGTTAGTTACGGCCAGCAATAACTACTGCTACAATGAATTACGTATATAAAAAATCGGTCTAGATCTATAAAATGATCATATATTTATTTATAGTTGTTAAACATTTACTTTTGTTACAATTAATTATGAGCTACTTAAAATACGTTTTCCACGCGACTAACTTAAATACAAGTCGTTATTTACATACGATATACATTAAAAAATTCACATTTAAAAGCATATAGAAGCCATATCTTAAATGTCCCCTCATTAATTATCTATGCCATATTTATAAGTTAAAACTATCACTATTGTGATATTAAATACTTTACTACCTAAAATTAATGAAAATCACATAGTAAGGCGATATTAAAAAGGAAGACGTGAGCGACTAAATGAAAGTAAGAGAAAGATGCTAAAAAGAGCTCAAGTATGACAAAAAGAGAGAGAGAGTTGGTAAGTAAAGAAGAATAAGAGAAAGGAAATGAGAAAGACCGAGTAAGAGACAAAAAGAAGCAAGAAAGAGAAGTAAAGAGAAACATATATAACAATAGTGTGATCCGATTAGTTTGTCCCCGAATTGTACACCGACTGATAAAATGAATTTCAAGGAAAATAATAAAAGAGAGTAGCCAATGAGAGAATGTGCTTGGGGATTGAGAAATAACATGTGCATATAATAGATATAATTGACTAGTAATGGATATAAAAATAAGGAAGTAAGAAAGGAAGGTAAAATACAACATATAGAGAGTATGGAAAGAGAGTCAAGAGAATTTGAGATAGAGAGAAGTAGGAGAGTGAGAGAGGAAGAGAGAGTGATTAAAAGAGATAGGGAGGAAGGTATGGATATAGTAGGAGGTACGGAAAGAGGTGCTTCAGTCGGAAAAGGAGAAAGATGTAGAGAAAGAGGGAGAGGTGGTACACGCCGAGCGAGTAAGGAGGAAATGAATAAATTATTAGGCGATAATCACGGCTGCGAAAGTAAAAGAAAGAGAGAAAGAAAGGTAAAAATTTAGAAAGGGAACTGATCGAAAGGAATAATAAATGATAGTTCTTAGAGAGACAGATGAAAGCCGGAAAAGCGAGCTATAGAAACAGTAAGAGAGAGCTAGAGCAACAACAGATAATGAGAACTGTGCGAGCGTAAAATGAGCTATATAAAAAAGAGCAACTGATAGAGGCAAAGAGAGATAAAAATATGTGCAACTTATTTCAAAAAAATATTCCAATTACAAATGAACTGCAGCTAACCCGTGATAGTAGTTAGGTAACATTCATGAAAATCGCATAGAGAGGCGTTCTGCAATAGTTTTTTTGTATATATTTGAAGGATAATTACTTTAGATCAGTACAAAGTCGTAGTGTACGCTATCTGACACACCTGCTCATAGTGTATGTTCTCAAACCTATATCTCGCATGAGATTTGACAATTGTACCGCTTTCTTCGCTCTCTTTCTCTTTCGGTTTGCCCTGATGCTCTTGTAGTTGCCGCTTTGCCTTTGACACAATTATTTGACTGTGCTTAAGTGCCGCCTCTGCTCAAGTTTAATTGTTGCTGTTGTTGTAGTTACGAGCTTTTTGTTTCATTTTGAAGTTGTTCAATTAAATTTGCAACATTCCTTTGTGGGGCACCCACATCGTCTGCTCCTCTCACATTGTTTTTTGAATGGGTTCTGTTCTTATCTACACTTAATATCGGACTGGCTGGCTCGTGGGTGTGGACGTGGGTGCTTGTGAGTTGCCAAGTTTTTGCCTTTGTATACTGTGTATTTATTTTCTTTTTTCTCTTTTAATGATTATTTTTGGTTTTTCTTACAATTTACATTGATTTTTTATGTGCGCTTGCCTTATGGCCATTGTCTATTAATGTGCGCAGTGCGCCAGAGCGAAAAAATCGCATAAAATGTTGTATTAGATATGCCACGATCATAAATTATAAAGTATTTTGCCAGTTTGTTCTTATTTTGTTGTCTTTAAAGTGTTTTTCTGCATGACATTCTATTTGAACTTAAATTGTGTGACTTAACGGCATATATTAAGTCGTTTTCTTAGATAATATAATTCTCAACATAAGCGTGGAAGACAACACTGATAAACTCTGATATAAAAATATAAGAGCCAAATTTCGATAGCATGACATTCTATTTGAACTTAAATTATTTTACTTAACGGAATATATTAATTAATTTTCATAGATAATATAATTCTCAACATGTTTAAGCGTGGGAGACAACACGGATAAACTCTGATATAAAAACATAAGAGCCAAATTTCGATAGCTTTTACACCTTTTACAATCTTGTAAAATAAATGGGGCTACTTAAGTTCATTCCGAAAATCAAGCAATTGTGCTTTCCATTCACGACTATCAAATACGTGACCCTGGAATAGCCCATATCTATGTATGTTAATATATATTTATTTGCGCAAATCGGAATATTTTCGGATATTGGTAAAGCTTATTAAATAAAGTATTTTATTTTATTTCATAAAAGCAACTTTGAACGCTTCGAAATAATAACAAAAACACAAGCGCATTGTTATATACAAATACAATATATATATATCTTTTCTGAATATATCTCGTATTAAAAATGATGATATCATAGAGAATTCGGCAGCTCCGCAGCACTCCCCACAAATTTTTATTAATAATCTGGCTAAATGCATAAATTCCCAAATATTAAGTACATTTTAATTCGTTTTCTGGGCGTTGCTTTGAAATTTATTAAAAAAAACGAAGGATTGTCCGGCTGGGGCTTTGGTCTCAGTGCATGTCAAAGTGTAATATCTGAGCACTGTTAATTAGATATTCCATTTACCATTTGATTTAATTACATTCGCTAATTGTATTTACTTGGCCGTTTACCCAGTCGCAGGTAAACATTCCTCGGCGTTAAATTAATAGAACGTTGACTTTCAGCAGCCCTACCAATTGCCCAATAAAATATGCATTACGCGTAAATAGACGACGTCTGTAGTACCTGCTGTGGCCCCAAGTCAACATGTCAGACAAATAATTCTTTTATGTGACTTATGAAAAGTGTGCCTCGAAAAAAAAAACAGGCGAAATAAGTAGCAAAAAGGTCGTCGCCGTTGTCGGCAGCGGCAGCTGAATTTGTGAGCAAATACGCTGACGCACACACACACACACACATGCACGTATATACACACACGCGAGCGCTAAAATGAAAATTCGAAACAAAAGACAAAACGCGTAAACACGCAACGGGCAAAAGGCAGGAAAAAAGAACACTGAGAATATTACAATTAAGCCCCGACGACCGACCAATACGCTACGCACAATGTTTAAGTCAAGCTAGTTAACATCTGATAGCTAAAAGTCGCGTTTAAACTACCAGAAGGATACGAGTTATATATTTATTATATATAGTTTTAAGCGATTATATTATGTTTTAGATATGATAAGCTGTTATGTCCTAAAACTAAAACAATACTAGATGCATACAACCTGAGATTGGAAACAGATTCTACGTTCTTCAATTTCCTAAAAGACGCCTCGAATTTTGTTCAACTAAACTAAGTACAATTGTAAGCATTAAACATTCAGCTTAAGCTTTGATTTAGTAGTAGAAATGCAAGATTAAGCTTAAAAGGTTAGGGCTGCGATTTTAGCTCATGACAATATTTATAGTGCAAAGTTCAAATTTTTTTATTAACTTATTGATTTTCTACGCGTGAGTAGTTGTTATTTTGTATATGTTATTGTATTGGTAATTACAAATTTGGCATGAAATGAGCAACACCTGAAAAGAACCTATAAATTATATTTTAATTCCATTACCATGTCCTTCTTACTGCTTTTATGGCTCAGTTCAAAAGCTATAATTATAAAATTTTAACTTCTTTCTGTTATGTCCGATTGGGATTATTATTACATATAACTATCATATAAGCAATTGGCCAATAAGTTAGTTCTTATACGTTCTTATACTACACTTTTTGTTGTTTAAGAAATTTTAATCAAGCTTGGCATATACGAGTTCGAATATGATCCTTATATACATCCTCTCTCTATACATCCTCTCTGTTTTTACTTGCAAAAGCTGATTCAAGCTGGGCAACAAATACCAAACAATTGTCTTATGGCTTATATTTCTAATAATAACTTTATCCATGTAACATGCTTTTAACTAAATATTTTGCTATCGGTAGAAATAAATATATAATCTTAAAGCTGACTAAAAATAATACAACTTTACAGCACACAAAATTCTTGCTAGCCAAAGTAAAGAAAGCACAAATTAATAACAAAGATGTACAAATTATGTATAGATAAATTAGGTAAAGTTATGGAGAAATTGATTGACTTAATGTTTGTGTATGTAGTTTAAAAGGCGTATAGACGTACTGATCCTAAGACTTAATCGGTAAATATTCGTTTGAAATACTTGTTTATTATTGAAGCGAAATCCCCCTAAGAAATTGTGAGCTTTCATATAATAAGGCTGTATATAGTTCGGAACAATAGCTGGTAGATGTTAACTATATGAGTTTAATTGGCAATTCAATAATTCAATTGACAAACAGGAGTTACAGTGTACCATTTTTTTTTTGTTTTTTTTTTAAACAATTAAAGTCTTGATCAGCAGCTTAATTTCAATTAAGCTGTCAAACCTTAAGCGATCTGGCAGCACGAAATTGCATGCGTTAAATTGGCTGTGCTTGGATATTTTCTTAAAGCAAACTGCACTACATTTGAGTACAAGTAAATGTCTGGGAAACGAACATTTCGAACAGCAAAGTTGCAAATGATTTGCTACGCATACCCTACTCATAATTACTGTCAACTATATGCATTTAAATCAATCGACAAATAGGAGCCAGAGTCAAACTTTGGCAATTAAAGCAATTAAAGTTTTGATCACCAGCTTAATTGCCTTTTTTAGCTTTCAAGTTTAAAGCGATCTGGCAGCACGAAATTGCATGCGTTAAGTTGGCTGTGCCTGAAAATTTCCTTAAAACAAACTGCACTACATTTGAATACAACCAAATGTCTGAGAACATTTCGAACAGCAAAGTTGCAAATGATTTGCTACGCATACCCTGCACATAATTATAGCTCACATGCCGAACGCACGATTCGCAGGGCATTCGATAAGAAAAGTGAGGGACGATGGCAAATGCCAAAATAAATTAGCATAAAACGCACGAAAAATTAACGAGCGACGTCGACAACGCGTTGTGGAAGAGGGGCCGAGGACATGCTCTTGGATGATGATGATGGGAACACGCCCTTTAATGGGCGCCAAAAAACATTTTCATGGAAGCCGAAAAACAAACTCAAGTTTCCATAAATATGTTTTTTTTTTGCGTTTTGGTAGCTTAAAATTTTTGAAAACTTACGCTTCGTCCGCGGCGGAGGCATGCACCAGAAATGTGGTGGAGGCGGGGCCGCCATGCGGCGTCGCTGGCGGACCGCAGATCAGCAACAACAACAGCGGCTGGGCGGCAAGAAATGCGGTCAAAATGACAGCAAAATGTGTCATCAACTTTTTGCATGTACCAAACATTTTGCTAGCATTTTTCAATCTGTTTTTATTTTATTTATTGTGTTAACCTAGACACACGCACTTATATTTCACTTATCCAGTGCACAATGCATTTGACCAAAATTATGTTTGCTCCCAAAGTTTGTACACAATTTTGGGTGGAGTCGCGACGTCAGCAGCGGCGCTGACGCTGACGCTGGCGCCAGGCGCACAGTTTTTTCTTGTCAGTTATATTTCACCACACGCGGCGTATGCGTAATATTTGAGTTATTGCAAACAAGTAACAAGAGAACGAAGAAAAAAAATGTATTGAAATGCAAAATCAAGTTAGAATTTGTATAAATTGTTGTTCGTAGTTTTCGTTAAATTTATTTTCAGCTACACAACGAATTTATATTTTTCCCTCAGCTGTGCGTACAATTTTCTATATATAAACTTTTGCTCTTAGTGCGGCCCGTTTTGATTACACATATGGCACACTGTCGCTGTACACGCGCGCATTTGTGTGTGTGTGTGTGTGTATGTGTATGTGTGTTGTATATTTGCCTGAGTGAGTGTTGTTGTGTTGGTGTGTGTGTGCGCCCTGTTTAGTTTTCCGCTTGATTTTCGGCTACCGCCAACGTTGAAGAGCTGCGTTTGACTAAAGTGGAAAAACTGAAAATTTACTGAATGCTGCCTCGGCCACAGATTGAGAGAGCGCGCGTCTCCTTCTCTGACGTTGCCCTATTTATAGTCGCGCACACACACACTCTCTCTCTCTCTCTCTCTCTCTCTCTATTTCTCTGCCTGGCTCTCTCAGTTTTTCTCTGCTTGCTTGTTTACGTTTACATTTGCCAGGCGGCGGCACAGCTGTTTGGTATCCTATTGATTTTGTCATGAGGGATTCCGTTCGTAGCACCTCATACAATGGCATTCCATTTGATTTTCTTCTTCTTGTTGCCTGCTGCGCTTTACGCCGCATATTCATAACAGAGAATAAATTTTGGGAGCGCCGCTTTACAGAGAAAGAGAGCGAGGGAGAGAGAGAGAGAGCGTGACTGTGTGTGTGCGTGTGTTGGTACTTAAGTATATTTTTCTTGGCTATAACATTATTTTCACAATTTTTTATGCGTCGTTTTTATTATTATTTGCATAATTTTTGCTTATGATTCCATTTGGCCCAATTTCGTGGACAAATTATATTTTGTCGGATTTTGGTGTTAATGCGATTGGCAACTTTTATGGGATTTAAATTATTTTAAATATAGACCTAGAATTTGAAATCATATATTGAAATGCCTTAGAAACTGAATAGAATAATTCTTTTCGTTATTTAATAGAAAGCGGAATACCTTCAAACATTGACCAAATTGATTATAAGAAAAAAAAAGGAAAAATCAGTGAATAAGATCTCTTTTGCAAATTGGAATCAGTTTTAATACGATTTATTGAATGGAATAATAAATCTGAATTTCAGCATTTTTTATAAATGTTTGATGAGCTGCATATGCATGTTGGAAACCATTTGGATGTGATTTCATTACCGTGACTCAAACAATGCCGGTCGTAATAAATTATTTATAGCCATTTATTGGCCTGAAAGTGTGGGCATAACACATTTTCAATTACAATATTGCATTATTGGAAATGCCTAAGCCGCAATAAAATAGCAATTTTTAATAAA